CCTGCTTCATTCTCGACCCTTCGCGTTGGATTCTTGTCTTGAATTCGGCGCTCCTTGCGCGTGTCCCTCCTTCCCCCCCTCTTTTCTGTCCTCCTGCCTTCTCCTTCTCTTCGTCTGTGTTTCCTTCCCAGCACCTCCTGACTCTTACCTTTCCTACTGGGGGCAGCAAACTGCGCTCCCGTCATCACTTTCGTGGGCTCTTAGGATGGCCAGCGGAGGGGTGGTCCACGCTGACCCAGGTTAGACCTCGCGGTTCTCTGTGGGGGTTGCAAAGTGAACAACCATCGCCAGTTTCGTGGGCTCCTGGGACGTCCTGCCAGCGCAGCAGTGTCTCACGCGCACCCAGACTAGACCTCGCGGCACCCTGCGGGGGCTGCGACTTGCGCAACTGTCGATACTATCGTTTTGTGGGTTCCTTGGGGGTTCAGCGCAGTGGCGTCTTACGCAGGCCCAGACTGGACCTCGCGGCTCGCTGTGGGGGTTGCCAAGTGCGCAACTGACGCCGTGTGAATGGACCCCAGGGATGCCCAGCACAGTGATGTTTTATGCGCGCCCAGACCAGACATCGCGGCTCCCTATGTGGGCGACCGCTTTGGGAACTGTTTGCAATCTCGTTGGTTCCTTTGAGGCCCAGCGCAGGAGTGTCCTTTTCGCGCACTCAGATTCGATTTCGCGGCTCCCTGGGGGTGCTGCCACGAGCGAAACTGTCGCCAGTTACGTAGGATCAAGGGAGGCCCATCACAGCGGTGTCTTACGCGAGCGCAGGCTCGACCTCGCTTGTGGGGGTTGCGACCTGCGCAAACGTAACTATTTTCGTTGGCTCCTAGGAGGTTCAACGGAACAGTTTTTTTTTTTCGCATGTCCAGGCGAGATCAGACGCCTTCCCGTGGGGCTGCTAAGTGCGCTAGTTTCGCTGGCTTCTGGGAGGCCCATTGCAGTGGCGTCAATTGCGCTGGCATGTTCTAGAGTGCTGCATCATCCATTGTTTTGAATCATGGGACGCGTAAGCCCCCCATGTAGCTTTCATGGCACATAGCGTTGCGTCTCTTGGCATTTAGTCGTCCGCATCAAACGTGCCCACTGTTATGGCTGCCTGTTGCAGAGGGGTTGGGTACGTTTCCGGAAATTGCCTCTGGGGGCCCTCTTGGGGGTCCTCATGGAGCCCCCGTGGGGCGTGTTGGCGGCCTCTTGGCCCATCTTGGAGCATCTCGGGGACCGCTGGGCCCGTTTGGAACCGTCTTTGAGCCGTCGGGGGCCGTGAGTTTATCTCGAAGGGAATCGGGGTGCCAGGCGGTCTCGCCGCGACTTGCGCTCTGCGCCTCCTGATGAGAGCGCTCTTGGATGCTCCACATTCGCCTGCTTGGGTTACGACAAGCCTTTCAGTCTGTCTACTTTGTTTTAGGCTTTCTAAAATCTTCTTCACCTTGCTAAACTCATTGTAGCCCAACTCGGCCAGGGCCCGCAGGGGGCCCGCCGTACCGAGCCCGCAGAGTGGGAACCACGGCGGGCCCTCCTTCGGGAACGTTCTCCGCCAATGTGGCATTCTCGGGGTCCAGGGGTCCTCTTGGGAACCCTCTTGGCGTGGGACCTTTTGGAAACATCTTTGGGACCTCCTTGGGGCTTCTTGACCTGTCGTTGGGCTCTCTTGGGGCCTCTTATTGTTTCTGGAAACCTTTGGCCTCGACTTGGGGCCCTCTTTTAGGCATTGCGTGCCCCTCGTGGGAGCGCGGGGGCCGTCTGCATGCTGTTTGGGGCCGTCTTGGAAGCCTCTCGAGGGCCTCTTGTGGGCCTCTTGGTGGCCTCCTGGGGGCTTTCTGGGTTGCCTTGAACGCCTTGAGCCGAAGAACCGACATGTGTGAACTCATCGAACAATGATCGGTTTTTGAATGCTGGCCCCTGGAGGCCCTCCGGAGCGTCCTTCTGGAGCCCCGCAGGCGGTTGCAACAGCGGCCTCTGGCGGGTGCTGCACTTTTTCTCCGCAGTTCCCGTGCGGCGGTGTATTTGCCGCCCTGCTCGGTCCTCCGCTGGCCAGTTGCCAGCCCGCCGCTCGCGGTCCTCCGCGGGAGCGCGCGCAGGACGCCACGCAGGGCGCCGTGCTTCCTGCGTCAGGCACGCGCGCAGGCAACGCTGTCGGGGTCCCCGCGCCTGCAGGCGCTGGGGCGGCAAGCGGCCGCGGGGGGCCGTGTGGGTCAGCTCCGCCACGCGAGCCCGCGCCCAGGCACCGGACTGCCCCGCAGTTCCCCGTCACCTCGGGCGGGTGGTCGTGGGGAGCGCAGCAGAGGAGCCCCCTGAGGGCCCCTCGAGGGCCCCCCTGTGGGCCCCTGCTGGCTCCGAAAGCGGCCCTCGAGGGCCTCTCGAGGGCCCTCTTCTTCGCCCCCCAGCTACAGTGCCGTTTTTTCAACATGCTCCGCGTGCGGATCATGTAGTAAAAATGCAGGGAATTAGTATTCTTAACAACGATGGGTTCATGCATACATTTATTCATACATTGACCATGTATTAAAAATCCGATATTTCAGAAAATCCCATATATTAAAAACCGCCCAGCTGGGTCACCCCCTATTGTCACCCGCCCGGGACGTGCGGCGCTGGCGCTGCCCTTCCCCCGCCTGCGCCGAGCGCGGGGAGGCCGACGCGCCGCCCGCCATGGCCGCGCGCAGCCTCCTGCGGTGAAATCGGGCGTGTCCCCCTGCAGGGGGGATGTTCAAACATAGTAAAAAAATTGCCTGGGGACGATTCTTCGACTATTCTGGGGGCATTTTTGGAGTTTTTTTTTTTTTTTTTTTTTTTTTTTTTTTTTTTTTTTTTTTTTTTTTTTTTTTTTTTTTTTTTTTTTTTTTTTTGTTTTTTTTTTTTTTTTTTGTTTTTGTTTTTTTTATATGTTATTTTAATTTTTAGCCCAAAATCCCCCTGTAGGGGGACACGCCCGACTTAATCCTGTGGGGTTTCGGCGCTCCAGGGTGGGCGGGAGGAGGCACCTGATCCCGATGCCGACCTTAAGGATCCCCTCGGTTCCTGAGGGCGCATCCCTAAGATTGTCATTGATTTCTGGCACGCCGATCTTAGGGACAAAGGATAAGCTCGAGACTGGATAGTGACCGCCCCTGGTGGACTTCACAGTGCGCTACGGCGCCCGTGGGGGTGCGTGCGTTCTGGCGGCAGCCGCGGGCGGCAGTGGCACCTTCATCGCTGATGTGGAGGCGGACAAGCGGCCTCCGCTGGCGCTGGAAGCAAGCGGGCGCGCTCTGGCATCGGCCTCTTTGGGGCGCCTTTGGGGCCCTCTTGGCTTCGAGGACATCGATAAACAGGGGCTGGGTGGTGGGGTGGTGGGGTCTTTCTTAGCCTAGCCCCGACAGCCATACTTCTCGCTTCTTATCGAGCTCCCCTGGGGTGCTCTCGGGGCTCTCCTGGGCGTTCTTGGGTTCGTCTTGGACTTGTTACTGATCCCAGTTGAGGCTCTCTTTGGCGATCTTGGGGCCATACTCAGGCTTCGTGTGCCCATCGGATTCGCAAAAACGAAAAGCCCGAACGGTTTTCGAGTTTTGCATCGTCCTGGTTTCTGGAGGGTCTCCTTGGGGCGCTCCGTGGCCACTTGCAGCTGTCTTGGGACGACGGTCATGTTGCCCCTTAGAGGCATACTGAAGGACGTCTCGAACCATCTCGGGCCATTTTGCGCCATCTCGGAGGTCACCTTGGGCTAGGCGAAGGCATCTCAGAACCACATTGGCCTGGAAGCCTCCTCCGAGGCAGCCTCATGTTTCAAGTCCGTGTTGCTTTTTCGATGAACTTTGGGCCCGAGCGAAGGGGGCGGCGCCGATATAGCGCCGCTTCTCCCGAAGTGGGGCCAATGGTTTCTCGGGGCCTTCTTAGGATTCTCTCGGGGCGCTGTTGGGCGCTCTTGGCGGCGTTTTGGAGCCTCGATGGGCTTCTCTCGGGGGCTCCTCTTGGGCCGTACGGGGAGGTCATCTTGAGGTCCCCAAACGACAATCAGAAGCGAAACGGCGAGAACGCAAACGAGAGTTAATCTTTCAACAGGTTTGGGATACCTGTTGGTCTTTCGGGGGCGTTCTTGGGAGGGCCCGTGGCCATTCGAAGACCTTGGGACGGTCGTGGGGCCTCTTGGGCGCATCTTGGAGGCTACTCGGTATGGTCCTCGGTGCCATCTTGGAGACCATCCCTGGGCCATCTGACGCCCTCTTGGAACCATCTCGTGCCACATTGGGCCCACTAACACTTCGCCCCTCGTCCAGACCAAGTGGAAGGGGTATGGGGAGGGGTGAGCCCCTCCCCGAAGGAGAAGATCTGGGGTGGAAGAGGAAACTTTCTGAACCACCTCCGCCCAGAGGGATGACTGGAGTTTTTTTTTTTTTTTTTTTTTTCTTCTACCCCCGTCGGTCACATAATGTTGAGGGTTAAGGCAGGCAGTATCAAAAGGGGTGCCGTAGCATGAGAGCTTGTTGAGACATACGAGGCGGCTGGGGATGGGTCTTCCATCCCAGCGCAGTGAAGCAGCCATGCCAGATATTGCCCACTGACTTCGCACATTCGAAGGGACAGTCCACTATTCGTTCATCTTTGTTGATCTCAGACGACACTTCACCGTCGCCACGCTACTAATACGCAAAGTCCATGGCTCACTGCGTGGTCTTGTAAGGTCATTTCGTGTGATGCTTTTAGCTTCATTGGTACTCTTCTTGTCACGTGGTGTCAAGTACCAACCGCGTTTCGGCGAGATAAGATGGTCGCTCTCTAGTGTCAGTGTGTTGCAGTTGCCAGTAAAGCAGCGGGATGACTCTGAAGAGATCCGCAACACGAGGCAGCAACCAGAGTAGGCAGCACCATCATTTTGGCAACAACGTTTCCTGGATGTGATACAATGTGTGATCTGTAGCACCCGATCAGGTCACCCATCCTCCCATTCCTCCGCCTCGGTTTCTCACTGTGCCTCGTTGACGTTTTCTTCTGTGTTTGCTTCTTTGCCTGAGCCGTTACACCATCAGGGCTGTGGTGCACGTCGGCAAGTGGCCTTTCTCTGGCCTCGGTCCGGCCGCCACGATGGGATTGTGGACGGGCGCCTTCTCTTTGCAGCGCTGAGGGAGGTCACTCAGAGCACGCTTTTACTTGCTCAGCTTAGCATTGTAAGCCCTGCTCGAAGGCACTCTTCTTCTCATTGCAGATTATTTCCCTTCCAGCGTTTCTCCAGGGCATGCAGAGCATGTTTCTACCTGCTAGCGGTCGCCTTGACAGTGCTTTGCCCTTTCATTTCATTGATGCGTGCCCATTTTTTCGGACAATGCGCTACGCATTGCCGACGAAGACAATCCAATGCCTCTTGCATCAATGGACTGTCGGTGTCGCACCGCCGAGCGCGAGGAAATGCTGAGAGCTTGTCCTCAGAACGCATCATGTAGGCGGCCATCAATTCGTGTTTCTTGGGCTTACGCCACACCGCGACCCCTTGGGGAACTGGCGGTTGTTGCGGGTTGATGTTGAGGGTCTTTTTGTGTGCCTTTGAGGGGGCTTCTTGGAGCTCTTTTGGGGCTTCATGGGGGCCTCGAGGGGTAACTTTTGGGGTCTCTTGGGCTGACATTCTCAGTATTCGCAGTGCACGCGTGGGGAAGCGGGCGAGAACCCACGTATACAGACGGCGGGCATTTGACAAAACATCAGAAAAAAGGATGATCGAATGGCCTTCGGCACATCCCGCCACCGTGCCTGGGTTGCGGGTCTAAGGCCACTCGGATGGCTGATGGGGTCTCGTGGGAGGCGCCTCGGGGGCGTCTTGGAGTCAGTTTTTGAACCTCTCGGGGGCCTCCTGGGGGCCTCTTGAGAGCCTTTTGCGGCCATCTTGAGGCTCCACAGGGGCCTGTTGGGGGCACTTGGGGCAGCCCAGAGGCGTCGTGGGGTGGAAGACTCGGAACGTCCATTCGGGTTCCCCCTCTGGGCCCCCTTCTCGGGCTGCTCTGGGACCCTTCCTGGGCTGTCTCTTGGGGACTTCCTGGGCCGTCTTGGGGCCCCCTTGGATCGTCATGAAGCCCTCTTGGGGGCTTCTTGGCCCGTTGTTGTGGCGATCTTGAGGGCCTCTTGGGCCGCCTTGGACGTTGTGAACCCAAACGGGGCGAATGTGCCAAACATTGACGTTCTCCTATGGGAACGGGACGATTTTTGCTTTGGAGGCCCTCTCGGGACGCCCCTTAGGGGCTTCTTGGAGCGTCCTGGGGTCCTCTTGGCCCGCCTGGAGGCCAGCGTGGGCGTTTCTGCATCGATCTTTCAGCGGCTCGCTGCCCTCGTGGACCGCCCCTACGGGCCTCTTGGGGCCCTCCTGGCATGTCGGGGAGCCCCCCCCCCAGGATGCGTTCGCCCGGATCCCGGGGGACCCCCCCCGCTCCAAATCGACCAGACTAGGATCCCAGGGGAGGGGTTTGGGGAGGGGGAGGAGGAGGAGGAGGAGGGAGGAGGAGGAGGAGGAGGAGGAGAAGGAGAAGGAGAAGGAGAAGGAGGGAGGAGGAGGAGGAGGAGGAGGAGGAGGAGGAGGAGGGAGGAGGAGGAGGGGAAGGGGGAAACATTTCACGTGCCGATGAACCCCAAAGGGGTCGGCGGATTGCCATTTGTAGTGCCACTGGCACTGACATGTTTGCCAGCGTGTGCCCATACACTGAGTTCTTTCAGTCTGGACGTGCACTCCAAGTGGTGCGACGTGCACTCAGAGTGGTCAAGGTGGTGCAAATAGTGTGGCGCAAGATGTATTCAAGACGTGTGGTGGAAGCTATGTGGTGCAAGCTGTTTGGTGCAGGCTGTGTGGTGCAGGCTGTGTGATGCAATGGATGCGGTGAAAGCTATTTGGTGCAAGCTGTGGGGTGCAATACAGGTTGTTCATTTCACAGGTTTGCAATTTACGCGGTGCAGAAGCTTTGACCGCATCCGATCGTGGTTACTTTTAAAGCCCTTGCAAACAACCCACCCATCCATCCGCAGCCTGTTTACAACAGTCAATTGGGCGACGACAGCGACGATTATGTTGACATGACGACGATGTTCATGTCGACGGTGGGGGCAATGCCGACGACGATGGTGATGTTGATGAAGCCGATGGCAATGATAATGACGGTGGCGATGAATACGCTGATAACGACGATGATGATGATGATCATGCGGTGGAGGATGATGATGATGATGATGATGATGATGATGAGGATGATGATGACGATGATGATGATGATGATGATGATGACGATGACGACGAACTTGTTGGTGATGATGATGAGCATGTGCGTGCCTGTAGAAATTCGACGAGGGCGACGAGATCCGCGATGACGTGGATGACGACGGTGGAGATGATGACGACGATGGTGATGATGATGATGTTGATGATGATGCTGATGGTGGTGATGATGATGATGATGACGATGATGATGCTGATGCTGATGCTGATGCTGATGATGATGGTTGTGGTGGGGGTGATGGTGATGCTGATATTGACGATTGCAATGATGCTACGGGGGGTGATGATACTGAGGGTGCTGATGAGGATCATTCGGAGGTGTGCGCGCTCAGAAATTCAAAGTGGCTGACACATCTTGGTTGAAGAGCTATTCTGTTGAAGGGTTCCGTTTTCAATTTCGCGTCGGACGGATTTCGGCGTTTGCGCGGAGGCGCGCGTGTGGTCGCATTGTACCATTTGACAGAGATGGCGGGTGCGCGATGATTGTTGACTGTGTTTGGACATGCGCGCGCGCGTGTGACCCGCATGTTCTCACCTTGCAGAATAGCCAACCACCTGAGGGCATTGTGTGATCTTAGCAAGTGTGCGCGCGCATATTGACTAGGTGCTTCATTCGCGAGCGCACTCTGGTTTTCGAGTGTAAACCCCACCCAGCCACCCGCAACTTCTTGGCAACGCTCAAGACTCCCTGAGTGCAGTGACTTGTCGGGACTTAGGAACGCATCTGAACAGGTGCAGCGAAGCGTGGGCCCTTCTCGTGTTGGTCCATGCGACGGGCGGGCGAGTGATGATGACGTTATTCATGCGCTAGCACACTTCAATGCTCGAGCATACACCCCACCCAGCCATCCGCAACCGATTGGCAGCTCTCAAGAGGTCCTGCGTGCAGTGACCTGTCGGAACTTAAGGGACATACTTGAACAGGTGCCGTGATACGCAAATTTTCTCTTTTGCAGATCCATGCGTCGACATCGGCGACGAGGATGATGGTGACAGGGTGGTTGTGCTGGCGAGTATAAAGAGGGCGGCGTCCGCAACGATTGCTATGATGATGGTGATGATGATGACGATGATGATGATGATGATGACGATGATGGTGATGGTGATGGTGACGGTGATGCTGGTGATGCTGTTGATGCTGCTGATGATGATGGTGGTGATACTGCAGATAGTGATGATGAGGATGATGACGATTGGGATAGTGGTATTGACGAACACCGTGATGGTGATGCGGATGATGATGCTGTTGATGATGCTGATGATGATGCTGATGTTGCTGCTGATGATGATGTTGGTATGACGGGGACTAGTTATGGTTGTAACGGGTACCGATTTGGTTGCATCAAGCGCGCACACGTGCTATATCAATCGTCCCTAAACTGCCTGTATGCGCTTCCAAGGACTCCTGGTCTGAAGTGCTTAATCATCTTCATGTTCTTGAATGGGTTTGGCATGCGCGTGCGGGGGCGCGCGCACTTGTTCACCGCATCATTGTTTCGACCGACATGGTGGACGCGCGATTGTTTTCGAATGGTCACAACATGTGCGCGCATGCAGACCGCATGGTTATAGGTGTCCAGAGAGTCGAGGCCTGTTCATGCCCTTATGCCTTTTCAGTGTTCGCGCAGAGGTTGACAACATCTGGTTGATAACAGCTGTCCAATGTTTTTGAATGGCTCGATCTTGACATGTCCAGGCGCCAGTGAGTTTATGGTGATTCCGACACGCGCTCGCGCGCGGGGTCGCGCGCGTGTGGCCCGCATGACATTCTTTGGTCATGACTGTTACGGTACGCGCTTGTCAGATCAGCGCGTGTGCACCGCGTCGTATGTTTCGCAACCCTTCTGCGTTGGGATCTCGTTTGGAACAGAGCACTGCGGCCGCACACTCCTTCCTTAACGGGCGAAGAACGGCATAACATAATCTTTTTCGCCGTCGGGGGCGCCTGTCCCAGGGCGGCTGGAAAGTTTCTACCCCTACGGGACAGGTGTTCCCGACGGCGAAAATGTTTATTTTATACCGTTCTTCGCCCGTTAACTTCCGCCGCTCCCTCCTGCCTGCCTGCGACCCGGCCTCCTACCCTGCCTTCGGCCCCGCCTCCTGCTGGCCTGCCACCGTGCCTCCTCGCCGCTGCTGGGCGTGTGTGGTGTGGTTGTGGTGAGGCGGAGGAGGAGGAGGAGGGAGAGGAGGAGGAGGAGGAGGAGGAGGAGGAGGAGGAGGAGGAAAATGAGGAGGAGGAGGAGGAGGAGGAGGAGGAGGAGGAGGAGGGGGAGGAGGAGGAGGAGGAGGAGGGGGAGGTGGGGGGCTTCGAGCTGCAACGAGGTCGCCGCTTTCCAGGGTTGCTGGGGGGTCCAGCGGCGTGACGTCGCACGCAGCCCTGAGTTGCGCCTCGCCAGCGGAGTGACGTCACACGCAGACCCAAATTCTACCTCTCCATGCGGGGGGGTGGCTGCGATCTGCGAAACCGTCTTCAATTTTGTTGCTGGGGGTTCGAGCTGAGCGTTGTCTAAAGTGGACCTGAATTAGCCCTCGCCATCCCTGGGGGTGGGGGGGTGCGATCCGCGAAGCTGCCGCCACTTTTGAGGGCTGCTTGGGGGTCACCGGAGTGACGTCGCATGCAGACCTAAATTCGACCTCGCCATCCTTGCGGGCTGCGATCTGCGAAACTGTCGCCACTTTCGAGGGTTGCTGGGGGGTTCAGCGGAGTGACGTCACACGCGGACCTGCATTTGGCCTCGCCATCCCTGAGGGCTGCGATCTGCGAAACTGTCGCCACTTTCGAGGGCTGCTGGTGGAGGGGTCCAGCAGAGTGATGGCCTAGTTACGCATGCCTAAAGTAGAAAGTAGACCTCGCCATCCCTG